ATCAATAGTTAATACTTTCAGCACTGCCTGTGATACGAATGTGCTCATCTGATTTCCATTACATGTGGACAGTCTTAAGATAACATTTTGACTTAAGGGTGGCACAAGAATAAAGTGTTACCAAAATGGAAACGGTTCATCCTCTGGGGTGTGTTAGTGTACATTTAATAGCAGTTTGTGTCTCAGAGTTTTATATTATTTGTGTTCAACTGGATATTTCACCAAAGAAAATGTCACAAAGTACAATGTAATTAACCAAAGTGTTAGACTAAAGGTCACATCATAATTCTCTTGGCTGTCATCAAGTCTTCTAAGCAGAAAGCTTTTAACACAAAAACTGAAAATGAAACAAACACTTCACATATGAAAAGCAGACTCAAACAATAATCTATTATCAAATAATTAAAATGGGACTAAATTAAAATAAAGTGTCAACTAGGATTTCTCTGAAGTTTGTTTGGTGATCTGGTGCAGCTGAGCTTGAAAGCCAGATTGAAACATCTATTAAATTCCTATAAAATACAGTAAATATAACATAAGAAATGAGCCGTTTAACTTTTTCTATTATTTTAATTACAAACGAAGGATTTTAAGTCCAAGTTTGTCAAGTGTCATGGGGTCGGGTTTACATTTACTTAGGAGACGTTTCACAGCTGTTTTCTGAGCCATGGGTGCCATGCCAGTATGCAGGGAGCGGTTCACAATCACCAGCATTTCATCCTCTAAGCTCTAAGCAATTTAATACTTAACAGATGGTGAGGAAAGGATCAAGTCAGCATGTTGAGTCTTGAAGTTTCTTTTTGCACCAAATATTTCCCTTCTGACATCCTTGAAGGAAATCTTGTGTGCTGGGCTATGTCATAGAATGTCAAGGTACGATAAATGATAAATGAGTCAATTACAGAGAAAATGTTTTGAATCGCAGTTGTTTTTCCCAACATGGTTGCCGCAGAGTGGATGAACAGACTGAGGGCAGCATAGTAGATGTATTCAGTGCTTGAACAAATAAATATTTAAGGGCTGCCGATATTATGTTTCTTTTTATTTTTAAAAATACCAAGAAAAGATCAAAACAAACAATGAATTGATCCTTCTAACATGTTTTTCTTGTGATGAAATAATCTTTTTACTGTAGCGGACCCAATATGCAGCTGAAATTAGTACCCAACAAAAACACAAATTACGCCTGTTTAGTAATGTTTACTACAAAGTACAAATCCCAGTAATTTTTCCCATAGACAATGTTATGCGTTAAAAAAGTTACTGGACAGAAGTTAACCACGATTCCTGAAGTGCATTTTGGCAAGAAACATCCAATCACCAAGCTTTTTGGTTACGTGATGGCGAGAAAATAGTTAAGAATACAATGTTGCACAATAAACACAATCTACTCAGTTGTAAATTCTGGGACAGGTTTGGGTGAATGCAGTTACTATAGCACTGTTTTTGACCCCCAGGGTCTAGATGCCTACTTAGGGCGGAGATTTAACGTGGTATCAATCTTCTCATTTACTGTAACTCTCTGCAAGGAAAAAACCCCAAATAAATGTCAAACTATTCTTTTAAAAAGGGACAAAATGTAGAAAAATTTAATGCACATTGGATGAGAAGAAGTAGATTTTTAGAGTTGAGTATTCGCAGACAAACAGCTAATTTGACTATACTTATACATATTATAGCACTTATCCTGCTCAAGGTGTGGCAAATCTAACGTTTCATTGCTCACACAGACAACAATGTTGTTTATTTGAAATTGGTTCAATTAAAAGAGCTTCCAGAGATAGTTCAAGTCAGGACATGACGTGGCTCTGCTATAGGCTCTCACCAATCCACCAATGATCCAGCTGGTGGATTACATAATACTGCCTTAAGGCTTTGTGCAGAGCAGCACTAGGCCTGCTCAAAACCCTCAGAAGGAATTACATGCAAGTTGCCCAGTCTATCTGTGGAGTCTGGAGGCTTAGCTGGAAACTGAGCTACAGCAGACCACAACCATTTCAAACACATCACACATGCAACGCTTTACGCCTCGGTTTCCTTGCAGTGCGTCACCTTTAAGTCTGCAGTTACTGTCACGTGTTGTTGAAGTTGTAGACCCACTGCCTACACAATGGTCTCAGATGTATTGTAGGTTTTTACAGGAGTTTAGTGGCTGTGGAGGGTTAGTTTTCTAATTTTATGACAGATTAGACACGCTTCTCTGCAGCCAACATTGTGCACTTCATCGTAAGTAGAACATGGCTCTGCAAATGCATACAGCAGCACTCTGTGACGTCTCCAGTCACAGTAGCTCCATCATTTCCACGCTGTTTGAAGTGCACTGTGTTACATCAGCAGCGCTCCAGAGGTGTACTTTGGTTATAAGGTAGAACTGCTGAGAGGGAGAAACACCACACACTTTTTGTTGACATCTGCTGTTGTCTTCAGCCGAGCTGTGCAGATTGTACTGTTTACTGTAGATGGGCTTGTCTTGGTCAACACATCTGTACAGTTACTCAAGTACAGTGTTTATATAAAAAAGTAATTTTTTTAGCATCAACAGCTACGTCTCTACTGAGTCTACAGTAGATACTCAAAAATAACCCATCTGGGGATGTGTTGTTATTATAGAATAAGTCTCTTGATAATCTGTATTTTTGTCATTCTCGACAACAAAGAACAAAACCAACAATGAATTGATGCCACTAACAAGTACTGTCTGTGTAGCCAAAGACTGATTCCTCTGTGCCATGACGCTCCATTGTTGTTCGAAAACACATCAATGAGCCACTTTGTTGCACCGGGTGACATGTTCCTTCATTACCATGAACACACACACTGTACTTTATTCTGAGTCGATCCCACATACACCGTCCTGCTGCTGCCGGATGCATAAAACTCTGCGTACGCGCAAACCCAGAAATGTCCATGGTGCCTCTCACTAGATTTATAAAACCGTTGCAAGCCTGATTTCCACTCCCACAGTTCACCATAAACGGATGTAGACACTCGCTTAATCAACCTCCATATCAATCCGTCCATCTGCTCCACTGCACTTTATGCAAGTCTGTCCTGAAAAAACGACAGCACAGAAATTACTTGTTTATGTTCAAGTGACAAATCCCTGTAGTGACAGCAGAAATTATCACTCTGTTCCATTAGAAGCAAAGGAGGAAACCGGGTAATTATAGAGCAGCAAAGTCCACAGAGGAAAGCGATATGGGTGCATTGGGCCAACAAAACCGTCAGTGCTGGTTTCTTTTAACAATGACCTTGCTCTTTCCCTAACCTAAACAAAAAATCATTTATAGATCTGGCTTCTTCTCTGTAAATTCTTACTAGAGCACCAAATGTACCATAATCTGAAAATCGTCCCCAGCAAATGCAGCATTTACAGGAAATTATGTAGCATCTTGTGAAATGAAAAAATTAAATTTTTCTGTCCTGGGATTTGTTCACAATAATAAAAATACAGAATAACGCCAGCCATATCATTCAAACGGTAACAAAACATTACTGTAAAATGAAAGTGCTCAACATTAAGATATAGATGTCCGGATGGAAAAGCAAAATGCAGATATATCAGAAGAACAATGTGGATATTTTAAAGCATGAAAAAGCCTGGACATGGATTAAGAACAAAGGGTTTTATCCCTTTTACTTGAAAAATATGCAATAAAGACTCTTTTTTTTTATTTCCAGCATCAGTGGATTCCTGCCACTCACTATTAGAAAGCCCGGAGACAGACTAAAGCGCCACATGGTGCGTGTGAACTGGGGAGACAAATTAATTCATCAAAGTCATTTGAAAGCCATCTTAAGGGAGAAGCAGCAGTCAAATAAATGCTGTGATTTAGGGGTTACTGGCGCTCTTGTGTAATCCTGTTATGCCCTCTTGAGAACACTGTGTTCACATAACAGTAGTTATTAGAAAATCTCTAATTCCAATTTTTCTTTTGACCACATTTTGGAAAATTTGATTTAGATAGACAGAGGATTTCCTCTCTGTTCCTAGAAAAAAGGCTCTTCCTGGTTCAATAAGAGGAAAGCCTGGTAGAAGGGACCAGTGCCCAAAACAGAACATATCAATAGAGCCAGTGGATCTACACTCTCACCTCCACTTGGCGCAGAAAAGGTTCAATATTTAGAATAAATTAGGAGGGAGCTTGTTCTGTGGGTTTGGCAGCAAAGACAACTGACACCATCGACTGTCATTCACTTGCTTCTGTGTTGCTATGGAAACAACCTTGTTGCTCCACTCCGGGGCTAATTCTGTAGAAAACGATGGTAAAAACACACACACACACACACACAAAGAAACATGGCTGCATGCATGAGTCATCTGCTAACACATACACTCAGAGCTCTCCAGTTTTATCACGGCAAGGAGCCTGTCAAAGCTCCCTCCACGACTGTAGCTAAACACAGCTGCAGCAGAGACCGCACGACAGAACAAAAGCAACACCAAACTGTGGAAAAGACCATGAAAGAAGGCAGCGATCACCTCTGACTCAAGCATACCGCTGTAATCAATGCCCACATGTTATCAACAGTCAAGGCTGTAACCAGGGAAAAATTGTAACTGTGCAAGCATGGGGGTTATGTTGTGAGAAATAGAGGGAAAATCTTACAAGTAGTCGACTAAAGTAATTTTTTTTAAGCAAGTAACCAACTATTTTGTATTACATTTTCTTCTATCTCACTTTTATATCATTGTAAACTGAATATCTCTTTTTTTTGGTTTTGGGCTGTTGTTGACAAAACAGGACATTTGAAGACATCACCTTGGACTCTGGGAATGTGGGACATTTCTAATTAACGATTAAAGAAGACAATTATCAGATTGATTGATAATGACAATAAAGGTTAGTTGCAGCCCTAGTTACAAGCTTCTATCTGTTCTCTAATTCACATTTTATTTGTCTGATTCTCTGCGCCTTCTCTCTGTCTAAACTGACTCCCTGAAGGTCTGAAGGTGAAATAATAAAATCAAATACTAGCTACACATATGACGTTAAGTGTTTATAGTAAAGTCATTGTCTTTATTCGCAATCAATGAATAAGAAAATAAAATAAGCGAAATTGTCAAAATAAATAAACAAAAGTGAGGTAAAAACAATCAAAAAGATTCCAATACAGCAATAACAAAAAGTAAGTACTATGTGAGATTCATCAATTTTTGTTTTTAAAAGAAAGAAAGAAAGCTTTCATGGCCCGTACATCCAGCACCTCTAGTTTATTTCTTGGGACAAATCATCAGGCTCGTGGTCCCCTCTCCACTGTAACCTGGAGGACAGAGGACACAATGTGACACTATGAGCAGTGTAAACTCTTTTCAGCATTCAGCAAAAAAAATATGCTCCACTTGACAAAACCTTTACTTTTTGCAGGTTTAAAATGTAAATTATTGAACACTACACACATAAACTGTAGCTAAAATTGCAGTGTTAACATTTAATGCCTGCAGGTGGCATAAGACGTTGCTCATACATACATACAGTCAGACATACATACAGTCAGACATACATACATACAGTCAGACAGTCAGTCAGTTAGTTAGTATATAAAGCAGTTCCTCCTTTACAAAGTGTTGAGGTTACCAGTCATGTGCAGCATACAGGGGGCGGACACAATAATAGCAACACCTGTACACGACAATCCAATCCAAAGCAGTGGCCTTTTTGGTGATTATTGCTCAGTTTTTGTTGAGACTATCAGAGAAGAGGTGATATTCTGAGATTTGGGGGTTTTGTTGTACTGGATCATTTGAGCTGTGTATGTGGGTGTGCATGTGTCTCCACAAATATTCACATTGAAACATGGCTTACATTTAATCAAAATTAAGAAATAGACGGAAAAGAAACCCGTTGCACAGCAGCATTTAAATATAAAGACTGAAAAATTACTATGAATGTATGATGTTGACCAGTTGAACCAGTCCAACCAGTGCTGTTTTTTTATATTTAGTCAGTCGTGTTGTTGCAGTGTGATAGTGTGAACTGAGATTAAGCTCCCCTTTTAATCCTCCTCCGTTCCACATGACCTCACAGTGATGCACAAACCAAAGGGAGCTTTCATTGGTGCGCCGTGTGTATTCCTGTGTGACCTGCAGCCAATCGGAGCTCCTCAGCTCAGCATCCACCCCCACAGGGCAGCCAGTGGTGGAGCGAGTGAGGAGAGGAGAGAGAGGAACATGTTTCTATGAATGGAAACATGGAGGAGAGGACACTCGTGGTGAACAAACCCAAATACTGATAGTTACACCCTCCCCACCCTCGTTTCTCTCTCTGTCTTTACTTCCTCTTTTATCCACTGAACACCCTCACGTGTAAAAAATCCCTGTTCATTTTTATAGCATGTAGTATAATGTAGTAAACAGAGACAATGACTAGCCTTTCCTATGCATCCAATGTTAAAAAAACACAACCATACCAAGTATTTTAAATGTATTTCTCTGCACAATTTAAGCATATTGATTAACAATGTGTAAGTATGTGTTCATTGTATTTACTGCAAAGGTCAAACCATAAAAAATTCTAACTGAGTTACTAAAGAAACTAGTTTAGAAGTGAATGAGAAAGAATATATCTACATGACACATTTTCATACCCTCTCTTAGGAAATCTCAACATGGTTGCAGCTAACTGTCCCGCAAACAGAAATTCCATAAAATGATATTATACTTAATAAAATCCAGTTCTAAGGAAAGGTTCACATTTTTTAAGTCTGTTTTTAAAACAATAGTTTTTGGTTGCTGTTTCCAAACTGGCTAAAGGGATCCCTTATTCATGTAATTCCAAACTGATGGGAGGAAAAGAGAGAATCATCACTTGAGCGACACTGGGCATCCTTTTTATATAACCATGCTACCATCAGTTTGTTTTATTCACTTGACCCATATTTCAAAAAATAGCAGCAATTGAAGTGCAGACGTGCCTCTGTTTGGTAGCTCATGAAAGGATCCAGCAAGATGGGTGGAGTAACATGAAGATGTGTTGCATTGAAGATGATGTCACAGCAGTTTCACGCGTCACTGTGATGATCAGCTAATAATCCCGCCTACATTGAGGGGGCAAATTAATTGAGAAAAGTACAGAGTCAAGCCAAACAGCACCATGCAGTGGAAATTAGGCTTAACTTAACCCAGTAACCAGCTTTAACTGGTAGTTAACCATTTAAACGCTTATAGTTGTTGAAATTCTCTTTACATCCCGATAGCAATCAATAAATCAAATGCTCTGATACAAGAATCTGGTATCTGTGGCTGTTGCACGACTGTAATAAGCACAGGCCGGTCCAAATTAAATGATTGGCTAGCCTGTCTACCTGCCTTTGGAGGGAGGCCTGAAGGGAGGGGGTGGGATTGCCATTTTGAATGTCATAGACACATAGTTACTAACAATACATGTGTGACAGCTTTGAGGTAAAACGTGAGCTTTTGTCTAACACTGAATCCAAATAACCATATTTAGTTTTTTGGAACTAACACTGGGTCACTATCTAAGGTAAAGTTAACCCAGCATTGTGCTATATTGATCCAAACTGGGTCCATTTTTAATTCAGTGGTATCCTTGTCAAGAATTGTTTTGACCTAAGACGATCCACCGTTTAAGAAGGAGGACAACATATTTCTGCTTACCCAGGAGGTTTCGATGGTTACTGCTTTATGGGGGCATGCTTTAACTACTCTGTTCCTGATGTTTCCAGCCCTTGACCCAGTTTGAGAACAAAATCAAGGATCTGCCGAAAAATAAGTTTCTAAGAGAGGAGAGGAACAAGACCGGATACAAAACTCTCTGGTCCATATAACCTTATTTCTGATACCAACAGTGGCTGTAGTTCATAAAATTGCATCCAAGGAAGACAATTCCAGAAAAACAAGATATTACTGCAGTCCATTTGGATCATTCGTGTTTTTCTAACTAGAGATTTCCCAACTTTAAAATCACACTGAACAGCAGATGTCCATCAAAGTACTTCACACAGAATGAGTAGAAGAAAAAAAACAACTAGCCACCTGTGAAACAGATCTGAAAGCCAGACAGGAAAGAATCTGTGCTCAACCCCCAGAACCATTTCTATCTATTTGAAAATGCCTTTAAATGATGAAGCCATTGGTTGTACTATGTTAGCGCCTGCAGTAAGATTGATCTTTACTGTACTGCAGGGGCTTGAGGTGAGGTTATGCTAGAGCCTCACATCGGCTGAGAATCTTATTGGCTGTAGATATTTTCAGCAGTTTATCCTCCTGCGCACACATGCAGACTGCAGACTGGAGAAGTGACAGGATGCCAGATATTGTGAATTGAACCGGCATGCTACTGCTGCCATGTGAAACCGCGTGCGTTTGTCACATGGACATCACTGTAGTGTTCCATCCAGAGCATCCTGCAACGCTAACCTTAACCTCTGATGCCCCATATTTTATCATGAAGTCTGCCAGCTTTGCATTTTGGGATCAGATCATAGTTTGGGCAGAATCAAGAATGCTGACTAAAACCAGAAACAGAAAGAAATATCTCATAATACTGGTTGGTGAAAGAGTTTTTTCTCTTAAATTTGTGACTTTAATCTCAGAATTTGAGGGTTTTTTTTGCAAATTTCTGAGTTTTATCTCTTAAATTTGTGATTTTAATCTCAGAGAATATCCAATCAATTGAATAATTTTTAGACCTACAGTGGCCCTAATATGCTGCTGTAGTTTTCCCCACACATTGTCCCATGATATGTCTTCATCTTTTACATCAAAGTCTCTTAGACGGTCTCTTCTGCTACCTGGATAATAGTTTGGAGTATAATACTAATAACCCCCCCCCTGGAGAGGAGACAGTTTATCTAGTGCATAAAAGCAGGGATGGGTAGCTCAATGCAAATGTTTTTAAAATTCTCATTTTCTACAATATCTGAACATGACAACTACGGTATGGTTAAGGTTAGGTAAATAACCTATGGTTAATTAATGGTTAGGGTTAGCCTTCTAAAGCACATGGTTAAGGGAAAGATGGTAGTTATGACAAATTAAAAGGTGTATGTTAATTACAGATCTGAGACAAGATGCAAATCCCATCCACTCACCCAAAATCGCCACACCTTTACAATCCACTTTGCTACATAAAGATCACTCTACTTCCTGCATTAGCACTGATTGTTCGTACTTGTCATGAATTGTGAGTTGTGGAATCGTCCATTGTAAACCATTGTAAATCCAGATCATATGTTAATTCCTGTGTCTTACAGTCCATCACATCAGATGAGGCCTGCCGTGATGTGGATACAATAAATTGTCTGGATATATTCGGATATGTCAGGATGGAAATGAATAATTGCCTTTTTAATACATTTAACTATTTCTGTAACATGATCGTCAGAAACGTTATTTGTAGTTTCCTTGGTTGCCATGGAGAGAGGAATATTCCCTGTTGTGTTTCAACTTTATGTCACAACTTTTTCCAACACTACAACATATTGTGAGAGTAGGGAAGAAGAAAGGAAGGGAACTACAGTTAGTTGTTATTTGTTGACAATAGTAAATGCAAGGCAAGACTGTTAATATGGCACGTTGCATTACAAAGGACAAACGGTGAAGTTTACAAAAAAAGCAAATAATACTGGCAGCGAGTACACATGCTTACATGTTGTCCTAGCAAAAATTAACATGACACAAAAAGGTAATGAAATCGGAGAGACTCTGCTTTACGTTATAGTTATGTGGTTGCATCAAATTATTATCAGGCCAAAATAAAATTCTGTAAAATCCTATGCGGATTCCTTTATTTTAAGGGTACAGATAAAAAACTTTTTTTTTGCTGTGCTTTCTAAAGTGTTAGAAAGACTTTACTAAATATGTTTTCATGGTAAATATGTACGCCTTTCTAGAAACAGGAAAGTTCTGTTTCAACAGGAAGTTATTGTTTTATTTTACAAACTATGTGCTGTTTAACTTCCTCTTTTAATTCAGAACTTTTTCTCTGGGGAAGCACAGAGTGCTTTTATGCAAGAAAGACACTATGAATGCTTTGTTTATCTACACACTGAACCATGAAAACCGGAAGCAGTTTTAACCAACTTTGCATGGCTAAGCTGTGGAACAGATGACCTTAGAGGTTTGACAGGCTCAAATATGACAAAGCTCATCAGAGAGATTCTATGAAACTAAGCCATGGACAAGAATTTATAATCAAATACTAAAATGAACCAGAAACCAATGCAGAGATCAGGTGTGATGCCACCACATTTTGTTAAAATATTCTGATAGTAGTACATATCCAAAGAAGGTTAAAATCAAG